CCCCCCCCCCCCCCCCCAGCTAAAAAATGAATGCTCCCTTACCATAAAACTTGACCGAATAAGTTTCGAAACAATGCGACGGCAAAAACTGCAAAAATCCTGATTTTCGTAATAGAATCTATAGTCTTTTTGCCCTTTAAGTTTGTACCGCCATCTTGGATTTATCATGTAGGCCCCGCCTGCGCTAGGTGTATGCGTTAGCAATCTAGATCTCCTATATCTATGGTTGAGACGAACACCACCATGGACTATCACTGTTTGCAAATAACATGCCTCGTGCTGTTGTAAATTTTGATTCCAGCTTGCTGCAAATAAATTAATTTTATGTCTGGCTGTTTATCGAAATATTTTTTTACGCCTGGCTGTTTATCGTAAATATTGAAGGTAAGATGAAAGTTTGATTACAAATAACAACGTGTTTTTGTCGAATTATTTTACCCATTGAATCGACTGCGGTAATCTGTATTTTTATTAAATTTTTAGGTACCATATACAACTCTTCATATATGCCACTGCTACTAACAAAATCAGCAAGCTATTGTGCCACTGCCACACAATCAAATCAGCAAGCCATTATGCCACTGCTACAAACAAAATCGGCAAGCCATTGTGCCACTGCCACACAATCAAATCAGCAAGCCATTGTGCCACTGCTACAAACAAAATCGGCAAGCCATTGTGCCACTGCCACACAATTAAAGATTTAAATCAGCAAGCCATTGCCCATTGGCATTGTGCCACTGCTACAAACAAAATCGGCGAGCCATTGTGCCACTGCCACACAATTAAATCAGCAAGCCATTGCCATTGTGCCAATGCTACACAAAATAAGCAGATCATTTTACTTAAAACGTTTTAATCAAGTGATAGTGTTATTCACTGAAATGCAGGGGCGGCGGAACGGATTTCAGTTTGGGGGGGCTAATTTTATTTCCGTGACCTCCCCCCCCCCCCCCCAAAAAAAGTTTGGTCAGTGTACCATTTTAGGGGTAGAAAAAATTTTCCGGACATATACAAGAAAAGGGATGAAAAAAATTTTTCCGGACCTATAACAAAAAATTTTTCCGGACATACTCGATTTTTACACAAAATATCCCAAATTTTTCCCCTTATACCTAAATTTTCCAAAAATAACCTACATTTTTTCTTAATTATCAAAATTTTTCCAGAGAAAACAAAATTTTCTGGGGGGGCTAAGCCCCCCCACTTTTACTTCTGAAATGTCATGCAGGCTATATTGTGTATGTTCCATTCAGTGGCGGCGCCAGGGGGGGGGGGCAAATGCCCCCCCAGAATTATTTTTTGCCCCCCCGTTTTGCCCCCCCTCAAAAAAAATTATTAGTCACTAAGAGCGACTAAAGGCTACACAAGCGTTCTGTCGTTATCGGAAAATGTATGGCTTATAAGTTGTCATTACTCATTAGTGAATGCGCGTATACATGAAACTGTTTTTTACAGTTTCAATATTAGTTTGTAAATCTCTGAATGGTAAAACTTGCCACTACTCCAATAATACGTTTCAAAAAAAGACAAAAAAGCTTTAGTTTTGCAGAGTTAAATTCTCAAACGTGTAAGGCAATAATAAGATGAAAGTATCACAAAATTATTTGAATAAACCACATCGCATATAAGGGGAGCGAATGTCCTAAAGAGGGGCGATATTCCTAGGGTATTCGCCCCACCCCCCTGGGAGGCGATATTCGTAGGAATATCGCCACGTTTTGAGGGGGGGGGGCGAATTTCCTGAGGGGGGCGACCTTTTTAAAAATTCTATCTTGCCCCCCCCCAAAATTCGAGTTTGCCCCTCAAATGCCCCCCCCAAATTTGGAAGCCTGGCGCCGCCACTGGTTCCATTGTTGTTGAGAATGGCAAATGATGTAGAGGAAAATCCTGGACCCATAATATATGATGTGGTTGAACCAACTAAAACAATATCTGTCAATATGTGCAGATTTTAGCCAGGGAAATACAAAAAAATTTAGACAAAATGCTGGTAAACAATGTCAGTTTAGCAATGTCTTTGCCTGCGATAATATATAATTATATCACAAATGCAAATACATGGGATTCAACTGTATTAAATTCAATATTGTGTGCTGGAAATAACCTTTATTCTTTTATAAGCAATTCTGTTAAGAAAAGCTATTTGCTTTTGACTGACGTGCCTGAAATGGTTTCGGTTTTTGATGGCATTTATTGTAGTGCAATATAGTAGTAATAGTTTATTAAAAAAACCCTTGCAATAGAAACTGAATTACAGGTCATTACAAAAATCTTATTTACAAATATTATTTACAGTATATAAAACTTATACAAAATTATCTGAGAGGTACCGGTGTACATAATTTATTATAGTTAAAAATGAATGTATAACTAGACAATAGAGTTATTAGGTTCAACGATCACAGTTCAGGTCGCGTACTTAATGGTAACGAATTTCTGAAACCGGTCTGTTCGCATCCTGATATTCCTCGCAACATTGTTTATAACCATGGTTCACTGGTGCTGACCGGCTATGAACAATTGGATAGAGTGGGTTTCCAGGTAGGATTGTCTCCACAAATCTCTTACAGGCGGCGTCCCTCCGTAAGACAAGTGGTTCGATACCAGCTAGTTTTAGGGCATCATCATAGGAACAGTTAGGGTATATTATGGCCAGTGCTCGTTTCTGGACCCTTTCAAGATCGTCGCTAAGATTTTGAGGAAGGTTGGCGAAAACGACAGAAGCATATTCCAATACTGATCTTATAATTGCACAATAAACACATAGGATGTCTGTTGGGGCTACCCCACTCCTCTTAAGCTTCCTCAACGCATATAAACGCCTATTGGATTCCTTAATAATGTATTCGCAATGCACAGACCATGTTAAATCACTGGTAGCATACACTCCGAGCAGTTTAAATGATGAAACAGATTCCACGCGTGTTGCACCAATGATGATAGGTTGCAAAACACTAGTATTGAAATGAAGAAAGTTAACAATCATATCTTTACACTTGGCAGGATTTAGCTTCATATTGTTCACTTCAGCAAACGAGTGTATATCTGCCACGATATGATTCATCAAGGAAGGGGAATTTCTAGGTACAATTTCCAAAGCGGTAAGATCATCAACGAACCTTGCACGGGGGCCCCACGCAGACAAAAGTTCATTCACCATTACGGCAAAGAGGATCGGGCCAAGCTTAGTACCTTGTGGAATACCACCATTGATATGTGTAGATGCAGCCGACCCAATACGAACGAACTGAGACCTTTTATATAAAAAGGCAGCGATCCATCCTAACACAACGTTATGAGTGCCAAGTTTAGATAGTTTATCAAGTAGAATCTTGTGGTCAATCAGATCGGATCCCTTGCGGAAATCAGCAAAGAAATATCGGAGGGTGCAACCACCCTTGTCAAGGGCCTCGAGGGCTAGATGGAGAATATATACTATAGCCTGTTGCGTAGATTTTCCAGCCACAGCAAATTGTTTGTTATCCAAGTGACTTATAATGGATGGCATGATTCTCGCTAAAGTGAGACCTTCCATCACTTTAGCAATTTCGCAAGTGAGTGAGATGGGTCTGATACCATTTTCAATGGAGCCCGGTGGAGATTGTTTGGGAAGAGGTGTAACAGTTGCTCTCTTTAATAGAGGAGGCAAATAGGCATTACGTAAGGATGAGTTATAAATATCAGCGATTAATGGCGCTAACTCAAAGGCAAACGTTTTTAGAATTACATTCGGGATTCCATCCGGTCCCGGGGCTTTCCCTGCCTTTAAAGAACAAAGGGATTTATAAACTTCGCCAGTTGAAGCCAAGAGATCATCCGCAATACCAGAATCACCAGCAGAATAGTTAGAAACATCGTCCTGTGAGAGAGGCGTAAAATCTTTTGTGAGATTTACAAAGAAATGATTGATTCTTTCGCATAACGTATTAACGGAATCTACAGTTGGTGTACAATCTCTAGATATTTGGTCCAGTCCGACCCCTTGTGTTGCATGGAGTAACGAAACCAAGGGATATTGGTGCCTTGGGAGCTGTCGATGTAATCTAGGGACTGGTTCCGCTGTCTTCGCTGGTTCAGCTGCCGGGCTAGTTCTTGGGGGGGTCTGACACGAAAGCCCTTCCGAAAATAATTTTCGTGCTGTTGTGGGTTACGTAGATGCCATCGTAGTGGGCTAGGTTTGAAGATGGATCGTGCCTTTTTTCCGATATCGTTAAGTGAAGAACTTTGACCTTGATTATCTCTGTCAATTTGAATTTGTGTCGTGTGGTTTTCGATCAAGGGTAATCCACCAATACCTTGGTGTTTTGTGCTGAGTGATGAGTGTATGGCATTTATTGTATGGCAAATACCGCTCTACCTTATTATTCTATAGATAATGTTCTTAATAATATGTTCACGGAAACTCATTTAAATTATCAACATTGTATGTTGACTATTGGTTCTACTGAATACTGTTGCAATTTTTAAGACTTCTGAAGGAACCTTTAAAGTATTTGATTCTCATTCAAGAGATTTGTATGGGATCCCACACCCTTTTGGAAAATGCATATTAGCATCTGTTGATAGTATAGAAAGCCTGGTGATATATTTCCAGAGTACTGTACCTCCGGGTAATGAAACACCCTTAAAGGAGTAACTGTTCAGTTAAATTCTGATATAACACAAATAAGTGGACTTGCTTCAAGTGAAAGTGCAAAAGAGCACGACCGTGTGAAACAAAAATGTTCAGAAGAAACTGAGAGTCAGAAACAAAGCAGACTGGAAAATGCTATAAAGTATAAAAAAGCAAAGCAAACAGCAGAGACTGAAACTGAGAGGCAAACTAGACTTGGAAATGCTAGGGAGTATCGAAAAGCAAAACGAGCTTCAGAAACTGAACATGAGAAACAAACTAGACTTGAAAATGCTTGAGAGTATCAAAAAGCAAAACGAGCTTCAGAAACTGAAGATGAGAAACCAACTAGACTTGAAAATGCTTGGGAGTATCAAAAACAAAACAAGCTTTAGAAACTGAAGATGAGAAACAAACTAGACTTGAAAATGCTAGTGAGTATCGAAAAGCAAACAAGCTTCAGAAACTGAAAATGGTAAAATTACGAAAAAAGAAAACGAGGACAGGAAACTGAGATTGAAAAGCAAACTATAGTTGCCAGTGCTAATCAGAACAAGAGAAAACGTTTGTGTGCTTCTACTCAAATTCTAAATCAACAGGATTATTTAAACAAATTTGACATTGAAAAAGATGGTAGCATTCATGAACAGAGTTGGGCAAAAAATAACATTAATAAATTTTCTAAATCTATTGAATTCTTTATTAATCAATGCACTATATGTCAAGATCGAAGCATGGCCACTGAACTCTAAACCAATGTCACCTGATTGTTATATATGTTCTCAATGTGCTCGAGACACAAAATCTCCTAGAAAGTTTTCACGTGAAAATGCAATGATTCCTTCTCCAGTCCCAACCGAGTTACAAAATTTAACGCAAGTAGAGGAAATGTTGATTGCTCGTGCTCTTCCTATCATGAGAGTTTACATTAAGCTTGGTGGACAACGAGGTTACTTAGATCATTGTGTTAATTTGCCACAAAATGTTAAGGAACTTGCAACATCATTGCCAAGATATCCAAGAGATTTGTCAGTGATTATTGTCAAGGGTAAAGATAACTCATTTAGAGATGTTGCTGTGACAAGAGAGAAAGTACATAATGCATTATTATGGCTTTTCCAACATAATCCTCATTATGCTGAATTAGAAATTAATGAAGATGCATTAAACTTTTTACCTGAAAATGGCATTCCAACAGATATCATGACTGTTGAGACTGAAAATGAAATAATCTCAAATGATGATGTTATGTCAGATTTAGGTCCACCCACTGAAAACCCTTCTGAAGATATAGTTTATAACAACTCTACAGACATGAATAGTTTCTTGCCTGTTGGTGAACAGCAGGAACAAGAAATTCGAGGTTCTGATCAATTGTTGGCATGAATTTTTACAAACACCTTATGGTCAGTCTAATGTTCCCAGACTGGTTTGATAAATTACAAGCTGTCATTGAAAGTCAAGCTGTCATTCAAGTGTAGTCGCTGGAAAAAAAGGGCGTCGCAACTGCTCCTGGTTAGGTCTAATAAATGTATATAAAAATTTCCCTCGAAATAGACCTGATGCATAATGACGTCACAAGTTTGATGCCCGCGAGGAATGCAGGTCTTAGTAGTCATCGCCCAGGAAAATTTATTACTCGCTGGGGCCAGGCTGGGGCACACTGTGCTCGGGCGAGTATAGTTTTCGGCATACATTTTTCTTGGATCGTCGACAGCCACAAAATAGAGATTATCTAAAGTGCGAGCTGCGAGTTAATATCGGGTTTAATTTTAACCCAGGGTTAACACTAACCTAGCTTTGAAGCACCGAACCAGGTGTTTACACCTGTGGTTTACATTAAAAAATCAAATTGAAAACTGCATGGCATCCTGGCGGATGGGATTTTAGTTTAATTTGTCTCAATTTGGCGCCAATTTTCAGCTTTTGAAATAAACATACACTTACAAACTTACACACTTACAAACTTGTAAATAGCAATCGTTTTGATGTACTGACGGTTTTTTCCCGTGTAAAAATAAATTTTTGTATGTATATGTATGTATGTACAAATTGAATTATTTTAACTTCAGTTGTACTTCATCCTCGTTCCCAGGGCTTCTCGGATGGTTGTACTTCCGATGAAAAGGACTTGAGTTTAGGGTTCCGAGCGTTCAGTATATATAAACAAACTGAGTCGGTGTCTAGTCATACTTACTAATAAAATTAAATAACCATTTTAAGATTAGAAAGCACAAAATGGTCTGGATAACTACTAGATTTAATTAAACACAGAAACGGCAAATATAAACTTGCACTTTTATTTTCAATATAATTAGTTTAATTCTTGAACATACGTACCGATGGATCTAACAAAGTAAACAAACAAGTAAAGGCCGATTTTCATCTCGACCGTATCGTAGCATTTTCTTTTGTGTCGAAGTCATTAGTTCCACTCTAGTGGTCAGGAAACAAAGAAATACGCTACGCTTTGCTACGATACGGTTGAAGTGGAAAACCAGCTTAAAGTGCACGGAAAACGTGTTGAAACGAATTTAGTTACAGGGAACTTAACTTCGGAGGTCATTAATATTTATGAAACAAAAACCCTTCGACTTTGCCTTCCATGTCGTCCATATTAACATACTTTCAAAGCAACAATTCAAAGCGAGGCTAACGACTCGCAACTCGCAGCTCCCCCAAATCACCTAGTCCCAGTCTTTTCATGTGAAAAAGCGCTGAATATTAAAAAAATATAAATAAGACTTCTTAGAAGGCCTAGGTCTAGGCTGGCCGACCACCACAAAATAGAATATTAATGAGCTGCCTAATAAACCCAGTTTATCCTTTTCAAAATGGCGGCCTTTCGTGGAGTGAGTGGATAAAATGTTTCAAACAATTTCGTTAAAATTTTCAACGAATTGTACCTGTTTTCTATGGAGTACTATAGATTTTGCATTGTGTCTAACTCTGGACATTCTTGCTAGTTTAGTTAATGCATTTTTCTTGGTTCACGACTCTGAAAATCCGAAATTTGGATCTCAGTTGAATTCCCGTGCACGATCATAATATACTGAATCTGAATATAAACGAGCCAAAGACAATTTCAAGGTAAAAGGTTTTAATTTACTACACAACGTAGTTTTAATAGATAATTACTTAATGAGAAGCATATTGGTGTCATATCAATATTAAATTGATGCAACAACAGTCCCTATTAACGGACCTAATAGTTAGCTGTGGAAACGTAAAAACTTGAGTGAAATATTATATGACATGGTATTTGTAACGCCTATTGAGTAATGGCGCAATAAGGATAAAAATACCATCGTTTGATCAGCGTAAGAAATTGTACTTACGGATGTCAAATGTATTACTATGAGTATTTAACAACAGTATTCTAGCGATTTATGGCCTTTGAAAATCAAGCGAAATTGTATTGTTGACAAATCGCTCACAGTACGTATTGACCACTATTGTTGACAAATCACTCGCAGTATACATTTGTCCTTGTATCTGTAATGCCCAATTCCAATGGCGCAATAAGGATAACCGTTCGATTCAGCGTATAAACAACCGTTCGATTCAGCGTAAGAAATTGCACTTATGGATGTCAAATGTATTACTAAACAACAATATTCTAGCGATTTATGGCCTTTGTCTTTGAAAGCCAAGCGAAATCATTGTTGACAAATCGCTCAAAATTATTAAACTAATTATAAAAAATACAGTACGTATGATCCTTGATAACTTTGGTATCGTTGGTTTTCTCTTTTTCAGCCGTATACCAGTGGATTCGTCTCACTTCTCTCTTCATTTTGATAGTATTTTGAGCCCCCAAATATTTTATTTTGATCCTAGTGTACGAACCAAATATAGC